AATAACAAACAAGCAGATACGTAACAAATTGGTGTCAGAAAGTCAGACAGAAAAGAAAAAAAAGATGGAAACGAGAAGTGGCAAATCAAACTATAGCTTAGCAGAATTGATGGCAATACAAGAACAGCAAAAGAAAAAAGAAGAACGAGAAACGAAACAAGAAGAGAGACAGCAGCAGTGGCAAGAAAACCTGCAATAGTGGCAGCTGGAACAGCAAAATAAACAAGAGGGACTACAGCAGTTGTTGGAGGTGAAAGAAAATAAACAAGAAGAGAGATTACAGCAGTTGTTGGAGGTGAAAGAAAATAAACAAGAAGAGAGACTACAGCAGTGGTTGGAGGAGAAAGAAAATAAACAAGAAGAGAGGTTACAGCAGTGGTTGGAGGAGAAAGAAAATAAACAAGAAGAGAGATTTCTCCTCCAACCACTGCTGTAGGAAAATAAACAAGAAGAAAGTCTCCAACAATTGACAGAAAGCCAGCATACACAAATGGAAAAGATTAGTAAATTTCAAAGTGAATTAAATAGATTAAAGGACGATTTATTGTCCTTTACACAGGGAGGATATATTAATCATGGACATAATCAGCCCCAGACAATAGAAAGCCCCTTCCAGACCCTGCAGCTAAACCCTAATGCAGACATCTTCAGTCCAGCCAGAAGTCACATTCCAGACATGAGTGTCACCAATAGGGGTGATCTAGTACGAAGGAAGCCACAGGAATTCGATGGGAAGGCTCCGTGGGAAGCATACAGAGCACAATTTGAGCTACTGGCAGAAATGAATGGATGGACAGAGGAGCAGAAAGCAGTGTACCTGGCAACTAGCCTAAAGGGACAACCACTGGAAATAGTTGGACAGTTGTCAGCAGACGACAGGCACAACTATAGAGCACTGGTAGCGGCTCTAGAACTCAGGTACGGAACCCAAAATCAGTCGGAAGTCTACAGGGCTAGGTTTAGGACTAGAGTCTGTGCTAAAGGGGAGAGCCTGCAAGAGCTGGCTCAGGACTTGGAAAGCATGGTACACAAGGCCTACCCAACTGCACCACCCGATCTCCTTAAGTTGTTGCTGAGGGATCAGTTCATAGATGCCTTGGACAGTACACAACTGAAAATACAAGTGAAGCAAGCACACCCCTCTACCATGCAGGATGCAATGGCCAGAGCTCTTGAATTCGAATCCTACATTAAGTCCAGCACAGAGGTACCAAGGTTGGTACAGTTATCAGGATTCAAGGCCAGAAAAGGTCAGCTTTCAGAGAGGTTTGAGGGACTTTGCTGGCACTGTAACAAACCTGGGCACAAGAGATCTCAATGCTGGCAACTTCAACACAGAGGAGATGATACAGCAGGAAAGGCTGCTACCCAGAAAGGTTGTTGGAACTGTGGAAAGCGAGGACATATGAGGAGCCAGTGTATGAAGAATATTACCAACAAGTCAGCCTCAAGGAGACCAGTAGTGGTTGGTGTTGAGGGACACTCACCAACCCCCCATCGTGAAAGTTCCAACAGTTAAGTGTAAAAATGCCAAGCACACATAGTGTCTAATGTGACAGGAAAGCTTGGATGGCCAAAGGTGC